GTGCACAAACAATTCTTACAGGAGAAAGACTTTGTACTGGTTTTTGCATAGAAACACCTGGATTCTAATCCGAAGATTCATAGCATAAATAGTACATGAAACCTGTGCCTTTGAAAATATGCTAACCACAGTCATGAGCTTATGTGTTCTTGTGTAGAAATGTGAATTGTTTTATGGAGAATTAGATTCCTTCTAGTTCATGCCAAGCAAGAGATTTTGAAGCTTTCCAGGGATTAGTCACCTCTCAACTGATAAAACCTGCATTTTGAATTAAATTTTGGTTCCGCTTAGCACAAAGAAAAATTCAAATCATATTTAAAGTTAATTTATTAAATTTTAAGTATTACAACTAAGCATCGTCTACAAGGAAAATATGAGCATTTAAAGATACTCATAGTTACTGCATAGATTGTTGAATTTCTGCCTACTGTTTCGAAATATCCTGTTGTATAAGGCAGAAGTCCTCTATGCAACAGGACTAAAGACCTTTGAATGTTTTCCTGCCACATGCTGTAGAAAAGATACTCATTTTTTCTTGAATTTTCCATACCCTTTCCACTTTCTTATGACCAAACTTCCTCCTAGGCAATTTTAGGTTGCTATTTCCATTTCATTTCAGTGCTGTAAGCATTCTGGACTTGGCTCAGCAAAGAGCAAAAGTATGTGTGTAACTTAAAATATTATCCTTTCATAAGCTTAGCTATTGCTAGATTTTGTAATATATTTTTTCCCATGGTTATAACTAATTTTACTAATGATCAATAGCTCCCATTACTGAAAATAGAACACTGCTAGACTACCATGCACGCACATTAGTTGCATGTGCAGCATGTGTGAGTACACAAAAATGCATTCAGTTACAGTGTTTATATAAGTTAATGCATGCAAATGTGTCCATGAAGAATACCATAAAGATATCAGGCTGTTTCCCTGTCTATTACCACATCTGAAGCACTTCTTCTGTTTAAAATTCAGATTGAAGACTATCAGCCACCCAAAACATCCTTGAGCTGCATCTCATAAAGTCATTCTGAATGTTACAATGGAATAAACAGATTCTTCCTCAAGATATTTCATTTTATATTTCCATAATTATTTAAATGTACCTTTGGAATAATTAATCAAGATACCCAAGCAACTCTCCTTTTCTCAGTATTTTCAATTATTTTCAATATTTTCAATATTTCACTTATGTGTTGCTTTTTTTCTGCATGCAAGTTTATTTAGATGAGACTAAGACAGAGAAAAGATTGCATTTTCTTTATTTTCACCCTTTTCTTTCCAGAAATTAATGTTATTTTGACTCTGATACGTCAGATCACTGAAGCATTAAATAAAATTTAATGAAAACTGCATCTCTATGGGATTTAAGTATAGGCTTTAGAGCTTTGCTGAAATTAATTTTATTTGCACACTATAATAAGAGACGAATTATCAGCGTAATTTCTTTCACGGTTACGATGCCACAACTACAAAATCTGACTTTTTTGAACTTCTAGTGATGGAAGAATCCTAAGAGCTGAAAAAATGGCTAGGTTTGTAAACAACATCAGTCATCCAAAGCCAAAATTAATGGCAAACTGGCCTTGATTTGAGAGAAAAGCAGAAGTGTCTGTGTGCTAGTTCTTTTTTAATAGCAAATTGCTCTTAAAAATAACACCAAGAAAATGTCTTAAAAAAAAAAAAGTTGCATAGAAGCTTAAAGTAAGACCATGTAAGCTTAAGAAAAAGAAATATTTCTCACGTAAAACCGATTTAAGTCATCATAGCAAATTCACATTCACAAAAATATTTTAGCCAAGACCACACATGTGTTTCTTGATTAATTTCTGTTAACATCAGAATTGTTATGCATTAATCAATTTTCTCTGTACGGAGAATCAGATACAAAGTAGATGTTTTCAGTACTGCAGGAGTGAATGATGAAATGGGCTGTATCTCTCCCCAAAGTCTGGTTTGTTTTTCTGAAGCAAAATATTCAATCTTTCTTACAAGATGAACAGCAGAGAGAAAAACATTTTAAAGGCTGGGTAACTCTCTGGGATTTTCACATTCCCATAAAAGACAATTATCACATTACAGTTCCCTAGAATTTACTTGAAGATTTAAATAACTCTGACTGATATTTGTAGGTCTTTAAGCACTGAGGACACTGGACTTTGGCAGAAAAGGGAAGAAATGACAGAAACAACAGACAGAAGTTATGAATAGAAAACAGAGAATCTCTGTACAAAACCGTGCTTCTTCTAAGCATTTTTTTTTTTTTTAAGTATAACATTTTAAGGAAAATGTTAATTATCAGACATGTTTGGTTGTCGATTTAGTTTCAAATGTCTGAGGATGAAAAAAATCTCAGAGGTTGTTCAGGATTTCACCTGCAATAAGACGACAACATGTAGAATCTGGTACTCCAGTATACCATTAACTTCAAGCCAACAACTCTTCATAGTAATGTCAATACAAGACAATTGTCATCTGTCTTGATTCTTAAGCACACCGAGCACCATGCTTACTGCTGATCTATTCACCTCTAAAGGAGTGAGGATGGAGCACAAGCCATTTTCCTTGGTGGGCTCTGCAAGAAGTTTTAGAAGGTAGGCTGAGACAGAGCTTCCTGGTCTGGTTGGTAGAAAAGTGCAGATATTTCTATGAGTTTCAGTCAAAATCATTTTTCTACACTTCCTTCAAACAGTTCAATTTGTTTCTGAATGTAATTTTGGTCTTAATAGCACGAAATCAATAAAAATGACATTTAATTTCTCATCGTCATCATTTACCAGCATTAATGATAGGGAAACTCACTATGTATTTTATATAATTAATGACATTATGTTCAGGGCTGTATTTCATGATCTACAAATAATTGCTATTACTAACAGAGAACTGGTAAGAGTAATGGTGTTGATGTCATTAAGAGAGCTAATACTGGGGATCAATGGCTTATTTTCTAATGCAAATGAAGCCACAGCCTATCAGGAACCTGCTAACTCAAAAAGATGATAATATGCTTTCAAGCATTAAGGCTACAAGAGGGATTCATAAACACAACAGCAGCTGCTGAATTTTACAGTAAACTAGTAATCTTATGTTAATGTGTTTCATATTAAAATGGCTCCATTGATAACAATGATTTCATGCTAATTTTAGTCTGAATCTGGGTCTCTTCATTATTTTTTTTTTTCATTAATAAATTAGATTTCACTTGAAATCAAATTGATCTGCTCCTTGTCTGACCTGCTGCATACCTGTGCTTTATTCTTTTTTCACTATAATAACAATTCACTGCGTGGTGAACTGGTGCAGAACAACCAACAAAACTTACTGTTGCAGGTGTGAATAAGCTGCAGCACTGCAGGCTGCCAACCTATCCTCACAATGCTAAAAAAGTGCTAGTTAAGAATCCAAAAAAAAAGAAGTTATTCCAATTAATATACTGAAAGCTACTATCCAGTAATATTAGGACTCATAGTACATCTTATTTGCTATCCTTTAAGTGAGCAAAGCATTCCATTTCTATCTTCAAGTTACACGTGGAAATAGAATTTATCATGTGGAATTTCAATGGGAAAAGCTACTTATATTACCCTTAAAAGTCACAGACTATTTCTCTTTTCTAAATGATCATGCAAAGAAGTTCTGATATTTAACTTGTTTATTTACCCTTTTTCTTGACCACTGTCATTTGTATAGTTGACTCTGCTACTGATAACCATTTTAAACCACAAAATAGTTTATTTCTAATGTTTCTAACATTACTATATAGTAGTATTACATTTCTTCTCTCAAATTCCATCAGAAATTTCACATCCTGTGAAAATAATTCAGTATTATTTAGTAGATATTAAGGTTTACGTCCTATTATTCTATATGCCATTATCATCTCAAGACTCAATATATGTGTACTCAAATCTATCTTTCCATTTTAAGCTATAAATCATAAAATAACATGCTTGAAAGTATTGCAGTATTTCATTTCCCACTGATTACATTTCCTTATATCTATGCAACTGCAGCATAGCCATTGCTCTGGTCCTTTGTTTCACTTTCCTGTGGGCTAGTGATTGTCACCCTTGGATTTCTGGATGCTTTTTCATGATGGGAATCAACCTAGAAAAAAAGGATAGTTACGTGATGAAGTTAACAGTACCTAAGATTTCATTTCATTTCAACAGTGCAATCATTTTGTACTACAAATTCCATGAGGAATTCTTACACACACACACACACACACACAATGTTTTCTGACAGTGATGAAATTAACATTTTTGTTTAGCATAAGACTATATACCTTCCAAAGGAGAAAGCACTCAAATCAGAGGTTTTTTCCCCCCCAAATGGTCAAACATCCAGTTACCCATATATCCTTTTAAAATGAATGTGCACTCACTTTCTCCATTGCCACAGATTACTTCAGCTTCTCTAAAAATAAAACAAAACAATCCATTGCTATGTCAAATATAAAACAAATTTAGGAAGAAAAGAAAAAAAAACAAAAAATGTTATGTTACTCAGCTCTCTTAACTTCCTTGAGAAATGTTTTCGTGTGTAATACAGAGACAGAAGAAAGCCTAATTGCAAGGACGTGAGAAACCATTCCCAGTGACATCAGAAATAGAGGAAGGGTCTTTTTTTCAGCAGTTTATAGGCAGAAAACATGCAGCAATTTGTTCAACTCCTGATACCCAAGAATACAGGTCTTCCTAGATTTTTTTCTATTAAGCAAAAGACTCCATTTTCTGTGTTCTGTTCTTCTGATGTTCAAGGCAGTCCACTTGATTCGGAGCTGCATGCCTCTAACTAAGCTAACAGCGTGTTACCAGCTTCCCAGAATTAACAGGATATTTGATTTTAATCTGACAAAAGCACCTTGCTTTCAAGGCCTTGTTTATTTCCATTGTTTGATCCGATTTCTTAGAAAAATAAATGAAACTTCCACATAGTAATAGCAAGTTCTCTTTATGAAATGCAACTTCTGCGAAAATCAATTCACCAAAAAAAAACCAAACAACAAACAACAAGAAACCGAGGCACTGTGGTTTCATGAATGTACCTTCCTGCTCTATCCTAAGGATAACATAGTGAGGAAGTAAAATGGTTATGCTTTTCAGGAAATTGCAAGCTTTCTTTTCTTGAGAGCTCAGCATGCTCAGGAAAGTAGGATATGCAGGTTCATCAAATAGTGAGAAACATCTGCTTTCTCAGTTGGAGGGCATATAATGTAATTAACGATGTCACCAATCTATGTAGCTAAGAAACAGCTTTTCCCACGTATTCAGTTCTATTAAGGTCTCTCCAAGACTTACCTGGAGTGAGATACTTACAGACTAGCTGAGAAGAAGCCTAAAGCTGACAAATACAGAAAAACAAACTGAAAGAATAGATGCTTACCTGGTCCTGACTGCCAGAATAATCCTCTTTTATATCCTCTTCATGCTGGAGATCATCGTGGCTGTTCATCTGCTCCATCAGCCCATCACTGTCTTTATCTATCTTGCCATTTAAATGGGTGAGCTCCTCTTCCTCTGCCTGCTCAACATTCTCTGTTTCTTCTATTTTGTGTTCATAATTCCCATTTAATTTATTCTTATTTTCTCCTCTGTTACTTCTCATAACAGTTTCCCCATTTTCCTCTCCATTCACTTCTGAATGTTCTTCCTTCTGTTTATATGCTTCCTCCTCTCCTCTGTCATCTTCCTCTTCTGCATCTTCTTCTTCATCTACAGTTTCTGCTGGCCTCTGAAAGGAAAAGCAGCAACATTACGAGGCATTTTTAAATTCTCCAAGGCAATTTTGAAACATGACAGACATCAAAATCATGATTACATCATCACTAGGGAGTAAGTACGCTAACATGAGCTTTATCTTCATGGAGAGAAAAATGATGCTCCTGTTGACACCTCATATTGCACTCTCATTCTACACAAACAATGCGTTAATGAGATTTAGATGTATCACACCAGGTTAATCTGTTTGACTATATTAAAACAACTGGAATGAGCTAGATTTAATTATCCCAGCAACAGATATTTTGCACCAGCTATTCCGACCTGTCTAATATTCCAGCATCTGGTATATATATTTTTTTCTCTGAAATAAAATATTAAAATAAAATAGCATCACTAGCCCACAAAGTGTTCTGAAGTTTTACCTATGAACCAGACCACACCATGCCAACCAGTCTGGTCACAACTTGTCTTCTATGCATCCACAGAAAAGCAGCAAGAGAGATGAGACAGACAGACCCACTGGTCACTCCCATAATGTCTTTTCCCAAACACCTCTACGTGCATAGTTAGGATTTGTTCAAATAATAAAATGTCCCATATTGAAGAAGAATAAGCAGAAAATCACTAGACATAAAGCAGTTAGCAGCATGATTTCATGAAAACCTGGGAGACTGATGCACATGCTGTCTATTTTTTGCCATTTGTCTTCCAGTTTCAACTTTCAGGGTTCACCTGACTATTCAGTGAACCAATGCCCCTTCTGCCAAGATGACTTAAGTACTTGTGCTCGAGTTTGAATGAAAATGAGTAAAAGTCCCATGGGAATGAAATTGTATCTACCTCCCACACAGCCTCATCAGACTAAATCTAAAGCAAGCAATCTGAGAGCAAAAAATAGATCCTCTTTTAATCAAATGTGTTGGGAATTCTACTATCATTAGCAGCTCCTTCGAGCAGGAAGGTCTATCCTACAGCTTGTAAGTTCTGTCTCTTTTTCTCACGAAGAGTTTCATTTCAAAAACAGTTCTCTCATTTTCTTTGGCATATTATATTCAAGAATACCAGCAATTGATTGAAGCCTTTTGACAAGACACCCTGCTTTTGCTTTGATATTTACGTAGCAATGTAAGACTATTTCACAAAGCCCATGCAAAACATCCCATTGATGGAGCTTCAAAAAGGACAAGTTATTTCACTGTAATAATCTACAGAATGACAAACTACTGGAAATATTACATGGTTACCTGACCATATAAATAATGGCTCCTAAAGCTCTCTTTCAAGTACAATGGTTTCTGTATGACTTTTATTTAAGCCTTCCTAACTATCTGTCAATATAAAACCAGCCCTGTTACTTCTGAAATGAAAATTAAACAAGCCAAGTCTTTGCAGGCACTTTCAAAGAAGCTGCCATGCAAAGCAGACATGAGCCAACTCGTATAATTATCAGCACATAAGGACAGCAAAGAAAATGTAGATTTAGCCTACCGACTGATTTGCCACCTATGAGCTACTGATTTATTTGCAGTGCACAATGATAATTAGCATCTTTGAGTTCTGTCTCGGAGCAAGAGTGGACTGGACAAATTAAATGCACCACATACCCATATTTAAAAGCAAGCATTTTTCTTAAAGAGAACTGCTTGCTATGACATTACAAATAGTGGCTGTATGTGTTAGACTTCATCCTGTCTAAAATAGACATAGGTCTAAACTAAGCAAAAACCAGTAAATTGAACAATAGCCAGAATCCCACTGGAAGCTCATAGGGAGCTAACGTCATATCACATTCAAATTGCAAAATGGACAAAAATAAAATGTCACATTTACAAGTAAGAATTGGAAAGCAAAATGCTTTCTTTATTTAATCTCGTTTCAAGTTACAGTACATTATGGACATGGAAGAAATGACCTTCAGCCCAGTAGTCTGAAATACAGTATCACCCCCATTGCACGAGAAAATCTAAGTAGATTTCAAAATGTGAATGGCCTCAGACAATGCATTTCAGAATGAGCTGTAGATTGAAGTCAGAACAGTTGGGAAGGAACTGAAGTCCAACCCACCCATCAAATCATACACTGGTCTTTACATAAAAACTGTGTCACTTAGTACTGAAATCTTGCTGATCTTATAATTTGAAGTAAGCTGACTTCTCTGAGAAATACTTGGCAAGAGTTATTTAATTTTCATATTTATGGAGACAGATTTTTTAATAGTCTATATATATATGTATATATATATATACAGGGAAGAAAACAGAAAAAGGGAGAAAGATTTTTATGGTTCAAAGCTTATAAATACTGCAGATGCATAACTACCGGTTCCAGTGATTTTAGTGAACCTGAATAAGGGAGCTAAAGAAAATATTAATATCTTTCTGGGACAGGGCTTAACTAAGGGTCCCCTGGAGTCAATGAGAACCTTTTCACAGAATTTGACAGACTACAATAAACCATCTAGCTACTGCTATACCAAATGTCCATATGTTTACATCGAATTTACTTCAAATTGTGTTCTCACACTCTCGTAAGTCACCTTCTAAACAGTAAGAACATTCACAGTAAGAGTTTCTTCTATACGTAGTGCTTTGGCTGGATGGCTAAGGCAGATCTGTGGGGCTGCTTCTCTTTGCATCTGACTCAGGCTTTGAGCCAAAGTGCTCACTCACAGGAAGTTATGCATTACAATATATATACATTGCTCTTCTGGGTGAAGCACTGGCTGGATGGCTGGGCCCAAAGAGTTGTGGTCAATGCAGTTAAATCTAGCTGGTGGCCAGTCACAAGCGGTGTCCCCCAGGGCTCAGTACTGGGGCTGCTTCTATTTAACATCTTTATTAACGATCTTGATGAGGGGATTGAGTGCACCCCTCAGTAAATTTGCAGACAACACCAAGTTGGGAGGGAGTGTTGATCTGCCAGAAGGGAGAAAGGCACTACAAAGGGACCGGGATAGACTGGATCAATGGGCCAATATTAACTATATGAGTTTCAATAATGCCAAGTGTCGGGTCCTGCATTTTGGTCACAACAACCCCAGGCAACCCTACAGGCTTGGGGAGGCGTGGCTGGAAAGCTGCCTGATGGAAAGGGACCTTGGTGTACTGATAGACAGTCAGCTAAACATGAGCCAGCAGTGTGCCCAGGTGGCCAAGAAGGCCAATGGCATCCTGGCTTGTATCAGGAATGGTGTGGTGAGCAGGACTAGGGAAGTCATCCTGTACCCATACTCAGCACTGGTGAGGCCTCACGTCAAGTGCTGCGTTCAGTTTTGGGCACCTCAGTACAGAAAGGACAGTGAAGTGTTGGAACATGTCCAAAGAAGGGCAACAAGGCTTGTGAAGGGCTTGGAGAATATGCCCTACGAGGTCTGGGAACTGGGACTGTTCAGTCTGGGGAAGAGAAGGCTGAGGGGAGACCTTATTGCTCTCTTTAAAATCTGAAAGGTGCTTACAGCGAGGTTGGTCTCTTCTCACTGGTGACAGGACGACAGGAAATGGCCTCAAGTTGTACCAGGGTAAGTTTAGGCTGGATATCAGGAAACACTTCTTTACAGCAAGGGTTGTTAAGCACTGGAAGGGACTGCCCAGGGAAGTGGCTGAGTCACCATCCCTGGCTGGATTTAAAAACCATCTGGATGTGGTGCTCAAGGACATGATTTAGCAGAGGGTTGTTAGAGTTGGGTAACATATTTAGGTTGTGGTTGGACTCAATGATCTTGAAGGTCTTTTCCAACCTGAGTAATTCTACGATTCCTGTAAACATACAGCCATTTCAAATACAGGAAGCTAGTCCTGGGTGACTGAGCCCTATTACCTCAAATAAACAAACATGAATATCAAATGTACGTATCAACACATTAATGTGTCAGATTCCAGGATCACAACAGCAAGCAAACAGCATGTCAAAAGTTTACAATGCAAGCATGCAGCCAGTTGTAGCCTAAGACAACCAAAAATGTATACACTGTAAGAGAGAATAAGTGTTCTTGTGTTACTTCAATGCTGCTGTTTTTTGGGTTATGGACACAGGACAACTTGAACCTGACTGCAGTAAATCTAGAACTGGAGAAGTGTGAGGTGTTTATCCCCTTAGTCCTCTATGAAAATTTCCTCAAGGACTAAACGACTTACAGGAAAGGACACTCTTTCAGTGACTATGATAGACTAACATCATTCTTCCAACAGCGAGAATTACTGATGATCAGGCTGTATTCTGCCTTATTTGTGATAGCAAGAAAATAGGGAGTATGACCCCTTCTTATACAGTTGGCTACAACTTTCAAATGAAGGATCCATTGCATACCTAGTTGAAATTACAGAAGCTAAAGTAACTTCCTTTCAGATCCTATTTTCATATTTCTAAGTACAATTCTTCAGCTGCCAAGGACAATCACTAAAAGGGCTAACTAAGAAAAGAATTGCATATATTTTTTCAAAGGTAGTCAGTCAAAACCATATACAACTGAAGCTGAACATCACAACTAACTGAAGCCAAGTTCCACTTTGTGTTTAAGTAGTACAATGATATTTTTAATCTCAGCAATACCAGAGTGTTTAAAAAAGGGAGAAGTATAGTTACACTCATCATGCTATAATTCACAGTACCAATTGCCATCATCATTCAAATGGAGTAAGTCAGGAAGTTTTTAGACATGGAAGCATTTGAATTCTCGACCTCTAAGGATGCTAATGCATTCTCTCAGTGGGCTTGTACACGATCGATACTGGAATACTAAAAAGTGCAGTAACAAATCATTTAAGACAAATTGTTTTATACCATTAACGTAAAACATAATTTTCCTTTATTGAAACCATTTGGAAATATTTACTTGGCTAATAGTCACAATAGACAAACAACGAGAGGCAACAAAAAGCTTAATGGTCACAAATACCAGCATAAATACACCTCATGAATGCAATATCAGGAATGCTCAAAGCCAATTGCTCTGATCAGCTCCAGAACAGATCTGCCCTTCTTCCAAGGGAGTCAGGAATGCTTTGGAGCTGCACAGCATAGATTCTAAAATCAAAACATTTTGTTCCTGAACCAGATAAGGTTGCTAAGTGACAACAGTCCTCTTCCACATCATTTACAAAACTCAAGTACTTAAAAGCAAGCAAATGAATAGTTGAGGGTTCATCAGTCCTACATTTCACACGTAACGGATGTGCTGTTGTTTCTGGGTGCAAAAAAAAACAAAACAACAACAACAAAAAAACAATAAAGAGCCTTAAACTCCAACATCTTTATGGCTCAGATACTTTACTTTAATCAAAGAAATGAAGACCGAGTCCCACAGAGTATAATTTCTTGTAAGATCATAGCTCCCAAAAGTACAACCGAAGTTTCTTAGAAGTCAATGCAACTTCAAGCATAGTAAAAAGCTTCTCAAAATCCATTCCTCATTTTTACTGTGTGGCAAATGGAAGCTTGCATAAATCCCTAATCACAAGGAGGCCATGGCATAGAAGAAAACACCTGATTAGATACTTAATTTTCTAAGACATACCTAAGTTTAAAATACTCTCTACACCTTTCACTGACAGTTATGTGTAGTTTTCCCATAAGAACATTTTCCAAGATACATTAAGATCCACCCAAGCTTCACAACTTCCTCCTATAAACGATGAGAAAATTTATAAGCTTTTTGAAAGAAGCCCTAATAAACTTGCAGATATATGCAAGATTTTTTTCCTCCCCCACAAACACTCTTCTACAGTGAATGAAAAATGTCTTAGAAGTTAAGCAATTTGAAAAATTGCCTGTTCTAGAATTCCTAGACTTTTTCAAGTCAGGTGCGGTGCACGTAGAGAGAAAACTTTTCTCCAAGTCCTATCAGCATCAATTTTACAATGGAATAATGTTTGCAGTTTTTCACTCCGAAGAACCCAGGCACTCCAACAGTTGGCTGTACAGGTCTATAAACATCAGATCTTGTTTCCATAGCTTCAGAAATCACAATTATCTGATGGAAAAAAACTAGGGAAGATCACTATTCTCATTCTGAGTTGCAAGTAACCAGACAGAGTAAGTTTTCATATCTCACACGGACAATTAAAAAAAAATTAAGTGTAAATCAGGGGAGCTAGAATTAAGACATTTTCCTGTGTGTTTTATCTGCTGGCACTTAACACCCAGAAAATTTAAATTACAGCTGTATCACTTGTAGCAAAACTTGAGCATATTGGAAGTTTTGTTCTTATTCTTTCCAGATGTCATTTTGAGATCTTTATGGATGTAGTGCAAAATACTTCCCCGTGAAATGCTCCAGTGTTTTTAAATCAAGAAATATATCTTCAAGCAGTCAGCCTGTTTTAATGTTTAATCAATGCAAAGTTCAACATCTTGCTTTCAGCAGCAGGAACATTAGTGTTTTGTTCCGTTCACGGAGGTGAATCTTGGGTCTCTAAAACAAAACGTACGGCCCATAATGAAAATCGTCAATGAAAGGTGCAGATTTTCTGCTACTGATGAACACTCCCTAGAGAGAGAACACCAAAAGGGATATCCTCAATTTCACATCACTTCACAGCCCAGGAAATTGAGAATAATGAGTGGCATCGGGAATCAGGGGGTGTTTGGAATAATGGAAAGCACACGCGTAGTGAAAGAACCCAAAGCGTGTGAACATCTGCAACAGCCCCTGAAGTCAGTGCTTATTAGACAGATTTAACATTCAATGATTTTTACAAATACACACCGAAAGAGAGGAGGAGATTGGATGATGAATCTGTTGGTTTTTTTCCACCTACAATTCAGATTCATTCAACGTCATTTAGATCTTAATAGTCAGTAACATATCCCCCAAGGCAAGGAAGACTGGCACAGCAACATGCCTGAATTCTTCGAAGGCATCGTGCACTGGACAGCTTCATATCTCATAACTCTCATATTTACTGCACCTCCCAAGGGCTTATTGTGAGAGAACACATGGAAACTGATAAATCAATGGAAACTTCCAGTGTTATTTCAATACCACTGCTACCAAATGCTTCTTCTGCATTTCATAACTTAAATAAAGTAGTAGTTTATTCCAAAACTGTATTAGTTGGAAAAGTTTCTCTCTCAGAGAAAGCTACTTTGAATATATCTATATTATGAACAGCAAACTCAACGTAATATATTTAATCAGCATTTCAAATATGAAACATATTGTTCCTTCCCTCCTTACCAAGAGCTGCAGTAGAACTACGCTGTTCCCGTACTATTTGCACAGTTGGTTTCAGAGTCTGTCATCAGACCCCATGGATGCTGCCACCAAGATGTAAATAACCAACTTGGATTAAGTTTGCACATCAAAAGACAAAACTATCCGTTCATTCAGAAGCTGAAGTCTTGGTACAGAACACAACAGAAGGATATGGTTTGGGTTTAGGCAAAACACTTTTCTCTCTTTGATGTTCAATTACAACTGTCAACTTGTCTGGAAGTTAGCAATTCTTTTAAAGCATTCTCAACTGACAAACAGCATTCTACAGAACAGGACATAAGCAGGTGTCTAGCCAGTTTTACACTAACTTTAGTTAATGGCTAAACTGGCATTTGTTCAACTGCATACTTTAAATGGCAAGACAGAGAAGGTGCATAGAAAAAAAAAACAACTAAGCTCTCTTTTCACCACCTAATTTACGTGGCTGATGGAAATGATAGCATATCAGAACTGTCAGGATTGCAGTGAAAGCTGGCATGTAAATATTTATGCATTATGCAAGATAGTAGTGCCCTGCCTGTCCTTTTCCATACTTCTAGCACATATCTGAACTGCAGTTCAGATAAGAAAAAAAGCTATAAATCTTTAACATCAAAGAGTTGAAAAAGATTTTAAATGTTAATTAATAAGAACATGAACTTGCAAAATGCTAAATGTTTTTAAAGGTTGAGTAATCTCAGTTGTCTGGGAATAAAGAATACTCAGTGCTATTAAGAAGGACCTGGCTTCTTGCCAGATTACCTTGGAAACATGAAGTTTTAAAATGAGAGATAAACCATGACCTGAATTCTCAAACAATTTTGGTGCTTTGTTTTGCTTTTCTGAAAATATGTTTTTTTAAAAAAAAATCAGATTATTAGTAGTGTACGAGCCTGAATTTTGCTTTTTTCACATATGCATACTTCCTCGTAAAAGCAGCTCAGGTAGCAAAAAAATCAGTAGCAACTCAAAAATACTGGACTCCACGTGGGCCTCAGCACATGAATTTAGAGACATCAAGCAAATCCCCAGCATTGCAAGATTAAGGGCACAAGGGATGCTTACTGGCAGCTGTATGAACAACAGCTGCTCTTACCAAATACAGAAGTGGCAGTGCACTATTTGCTGTTTTCCTGTCTCTAGCAAGGGTCATCATTCTGTAGCTGTGGTAAACTGTCAAGAGTGGCTGCAGGAAGGGCAGAACTCTTATGCCTGCCATAGTATCCCTATGGAGAAGTACAGTTGCCGTCCCCAGGCTCTTAAATTTTGTAGAATTGCAGTCAATCTAAAATGTAAGACCTGAAAACCCAATATATATACTATCAAATGCTTCATGTTACACCCAAGGAAAGTTTTATGCACCTTCCGAGGCTGATGAACAGGCTAATTATTTACTAATTTGATAATTGCACAGTCAGGACTAGGGCACAATGTACTAAGAAACATAAGAAATATAGACAGGCAGTAGTTCCTCCCCCACTTTCAGTACCACAGGTAAAATCCAACACAAACTAATTATCACAACAGCTCATAAGGGCAACAACAATTAGCAGGGGTGATGTCCTGACGGCGTTTAGCACACAACTCTCTGAGGTCAAGGAAGGGATTCTTTGTGCAAAGAGAGAACTTCAGCATTCCTTATGTCAGGAACCAGAACAGTCTTGATGCAAAATCTGGCTAATTAAGTGCCTAATTCTTTCAACAGAAGACTGTACTGGTAGCTTGGACAAAAATCTGACAAATCCAGGCATGTTTTTGGTCGAGGACTGCAGGAATTCTGACCTTGGTTCTTATATTATTTCACCAATACAAATGGAGTACAGTCTGGCTGAATCTGCTCAGTAAGTAGTTGAGACCTGAGGCCCTCTGAGAGTTCTCAGATCAGTTCTGAAGCTGATGTACAATAAAAAGGTAACTGAAAGAAAAAATTTGCTAAAGTTCCCATAAATAAAACTGCACTGGTGAGAAGTTATAATCATCTACAAAGAAATCTCTTGTGCTCCTGAAAGAAATTGAGTACAGAACACACACTACCAGTGAGGAAAGAAAGAAAAAGCTGTTTATTTAAAGTTTGAACAGTACCTGGTCCAATGGAACTTCTACACGAGTGTCTTCATCTTCTTGAACTTCAGCTGCCCCCCACGTTTCAGATTGCTTTTCTCTAGCTCTGTAAATCCCTTCACCTACAATGGGAAGAGAGAAGAAATAAGTGAGGTCCAATTGCGACTCTGTGTGGCAGAACTACTGAAGTGCACTCGATATTGCTGCTGAGTGGGTTTCCAAGCAGACTCACCATTCCTTTTGGTGAAGTTTTCAACCTCCCATTATTCTCAATTGGTTCTCCTTTTTAATAACAAATAGCATGCTACACCACTGGGAGAAGGAAAAGGAAATAGCATGAACAAAGCCCCGGATCCCAATTCCTTCAGCTTTAGAAAAGGTTGGGAGCAATTACAATAACATTCTGTTGCTTTTACTTCTACAGTCAATGACATTACCTTCTTGGACTCAGCATAGTAACTCTTACATCTAGAAAAATAACAGGCACCAAATCAACAATGCTTTGAACCAGGACAGGAGCAAAACAAGGAAGGGCTCAGAAATTAAAAACACAAAGGTTAGTTTAAATCACTTTCCTCTTTCTCCATCCGTCTAGGAAAGAGAGATGTGTATGCTGTCATGTTCATACCCAGCATAATATGTAACCATAAGAATAAATAGGAAAGTTTGCACTTCATTGAATTGCTGTATAATTTCTCATAAAAGGATGCAAACTTGATAATATCAAACCAACATGCAAACCATTCTCTGTTGCTGAACACTAGGAAGGAGGAAACAACCTGTAAAATAAACAAGTGATGAAGGAGACTTGCAGAAGTGTAGATAATGATTCGCATAAAAATAAGCACTGCCTTCTGTGGAAATTAGTTTTTCAGTTTCTTTTTTCATTGCTATGAAAAGGGAAAAAATAATCCTTGGACCAAAATTCAGAGGTAGAATAATCACTGAAAACGGTCACTGACCAAAGCATCAGAAAGCAAAGATATTATCAGAAATATCCACAGCTTTATTCCATATTGGTAGCACTGGCTGCAGCTTAGGGGAAGAGATTTTGTGATGGACATAACAGCCTGGGTACCTGGGATTCAGTTCTGCTGGAACTTCTTTGCCCAGCCCATACTTGTACTTCAAAAGCACCAGTGTGCAGCATACCACAATGTTCTTAGTATCACAGGTTGGATTCTTATCCTCACCTACTATTCTACGTTTGATCAGAGACAACAAAGAACATCTCATATTTGGTGGTAGCATGGTAAACCTTCAACTATCTACATGCATGTGTTTTGTTACCTTTTGCAGATATCCAGAGAAGTAACAAAACACACATGAACCAGTGATGCACTGATAAAAACGTCCAGAAAAAAAATCCAAAATGCACCTGATATCATCACAAATGATCCATACATTTCACATTTTCATTTTTGTGAGCTCTCTAGGAGGCAAAGTTCTGTTGTTCTTACCTTATATTATAGAAAGATTATCCTGGGTGCCATCGAAAAATGCTTAAAGAATAACAAAGTCATCAGGTCCATCCAATATGAATTCAGGAAAGAAAAGTCCTGTCTCAGTAATCTGAAATCTTTCATGTTAAGATAGCCTGCTTACTGCATGCAAGGAAGGTGGTGGATGTGGTTTGTCTGGATTTCAGTAAGGCTTTTGATACTGTCCTTTACAGAATCCTTCTGGACATATTTTCTAATTGTGAGATGAAGAGCTGCATGGTACACTGAGTGAAGAACTGACTGGTTGGTAGGGTTTGAAGAGTTGTTGGCAGCCATCTACTAATGGATACTCCAGGGCTTAAGCTGGTAGCCACTTCTGGTCAACAACTTTATCAGCTACCTGGATGCAGGTTTGGAACACATCCTTAGTAAACTTGCTGACAATTTAAACCAGGAGGTGCTGTTAACTGTCTTGAAAGATGAGAAGCTTTGCAGAGGGGATCTGGGCAGAATGGAGCTCTGGGCTATCAGTAACAGGTTGAAAACGAACAAGAACAAATAGCAGGTTCTGTACCTGGATGGAGCCATACTGGACAAAGGCACAGATGGAGATGAGTGGCTGAAGAGCAGCTCAGCAGAGAGGGATCAGGGGGTACAAGTGACAACAGGCTCTGCGTGAGCCTGACAGCAAAGGGCAAACCTTAACATTGTGTATACAGTATAAAAGGAGATTTAAGCTCCTTGAAAGCATCCAGAGAAGGAATCAAAGGTAAAAACAGGGCTGGCAGGTGTGTCCTGCAAGGAAAAGATGGCCATAATTAGAAGATATTAGTTGAAGAGTCCTACATAATCTTCTGTCACCTCTCCAGGACGCCAATGTCTTGCATGGAAAGCACTCTAAAATAATTCCTGCTTTTTAAGTGCTAGTGGAAGATGCTAAAACTGAACTGAAGGCTGCAATGGAAAAGAGCAGCATCAGAGAAATCACAAGATCTTCAAGGACAGTGTTTTCAGGTGAAGTGAGAAATCAGATCATTCTCAAAACAGCTGTGGTCTCTAAGAAAAACAAGTAGTTAATTTCAAATGCATTCAACAGAAGATATCAGTACTTAGTTTCAGAAAAGGAAAAGAAAAAGTCTGAGGATCTAAAGAAAATCATTACTGAAAGAATTGAATTATTTATCTCTGTGCAAACATTAGGGTATAGAAGAAAAATGTCCAAAACATATGTATCATCAATAACAAGGGAAGGAGAAAAAAGCACTTAGGTCTGAAATGCGTCAAAGCTACTGAAGAAAAATGACATCAGCTGAAAAAAAAAAAAAACCAGGAAAGATGTAAGAGTGGATCAAGTCCAAAATCCTAAAGAAAATTACAAGGAATTTAATTAGGCATACATTAGACGCATTTTTCTTGTATTTTTGTATTAGAAGTGAAAATAAATAGAAATTTGTAGAATAATATACAAACATTAAACACGATAAAAGCAGCATCAAGAAAATATCTTCAAAAAGTAAACATTGTTAACATTGCTACTCTGTATCAGACAAATATTTACACTTTTTGCATGCAAATTAAAAAAAAAAAAATGTGGAGGCAGGCAGCTAATGAAAGGCCAACATATTCCCTGCTCATGTGTTTCTGTGCAAGATCTTGTCAGCAGCAGTTTGCAGACCTCATTAATCACTATTACCCAAGCCATGAGTTATTCAGGTCCTCACAAGCAAATATGTTATGTCGGGTATTTTTTTGCATCATTTTATAGGCAATATTTCAGAAATGCTTTGTGGTTTTAGAAGAAAGTTTAGCAAAAAAAAGAAATCTTACTGATGCAATATTTCATATCTCTGTCTCCAAATCATTAGTCAGTTTCTATACAGTACTCTAAGACAAACAAGACATTTCATGCAATTTATAGTGGTTTCTAAAATAACAGTTCTGTAAGTCTTCATTCTAAAGTGTTATGAACTGACATTGCAATCTCTACTAATGGAGTACTGTATGTCACTAAAAAGAGAACTCCCAGCACTTCCATTAGATGAAACATTCATGTCTACCCAGAACAGTTCCTAAAATATTGTAGATTAGACACACTCCTCACGCAAGAGCAAGTTCTGATTTATCATGCCCCAAACAAACTAGAAATGTCCAAGATAGAGATGGCCACTGTCAGTATCCTCGACACATTGAGGCAAAAGAGCTCTGAGGAGTGGTAGGAATAGAAGGTAGGTCCAAACCTTACAGTCACGTTGTGGTATATTCTATCACTCTGCTCCAAGCTGAGTAGAAGATGACAGCAGCAAAGGATTAAAAGGCACTATAAGATCCAAAATGTCACTGTACTGCTTGGCCTGCTAGCAAGTACAGATCAGAGGGTTTATTTCTAGCTATGGTCTTGGCTCTCCATGCCACACTAAACACTGCTTCACTCAAAAGGTAGAGCAAAATTTTACTGAGAGGCTCCTGATCTTCTATGAGGATATTTTTCATTCTATCTGGACGTGATCCTGGGAAACCTGCTCTACATGTCCCTAATTGAGCAGGGGAGTTGGACCAGATGACTTGTGGAGGCTTCTACCAGCCTCAAGCATTCTGTAATTCTGTGTCCAGACAACCAGAAGATATTGGAATTTAAGATTTTGCCACTGTGTAAAAGCAGACCACCTTGAGTCATTAATTACCTCTGCTTTTATATTTCATGTAGAGTGAGGTATCTTAAACATACAACAATGCTATTACCTGATTATTTAAAGCAGGATCATGTTTAGCAATTCAGGATAGAAGGAAAAAGAGAAGGATCCACAGAAGGGCACAGAATGGATCACAAGAAGGAAAAAAGAGGAGCAGTCTAATGAAGAGAGGAGATTTGCAGAGGCTAAAGGAAGTTCTTGGAGTATTGTTTTTGGCTTCAAGCTGGAGGAAGTGAACAAAAACTTTAATTGCAAGTGCTTTTCTATAGAGCTTCTTCAAGAATTGCACTTCACTTCTTCTTCAGATTCATAATTGCAAAGAAAGACCTATGGAATCTTGAGAGAAGAAAGCAAAAACATTAGAAGGTACAAGCTCTAACAGCCAAGGATCTTTGCATTCAGATTCCTTTCCTGTCCTGTCCCCCCACCCATGTCAGCTATGCTGGCATTGCAGCACCTGAGAATTGATTTACATGAAAGAGAGCCCATCACTGACTGATCAGGAAAGTTTATTAGATATTCACATCTCTGGCTAATCCCCTGGGAGGCACACAAGAGATTAATCAGCTACAGCAAAACTGAAATCTCCAAAACATTTTGGCTAACACCGCTTTGTGATATATGCTATCAATTGTCTAAATACGTAGACATTCACTGTATTCAATTCAGTACAGAAAGAAACAATGAATTGATGCATGTATAGCTTGAGCAAACCTTTGCGCCTCACACCACTCAGTATTTCAGCTCAATTTTTTGTACCCTTTAACAAACAGGAAAGGGTGAGTTTGTTAAATAATAACTGAGTTATACGTTGAACTAACTCATAAGAAATCTATATATTTTAAATAATTAAACGTAGAAATTAACGGCTCTTGTGTAAGCTCCTTACCTAAGCAGAATTAACTATAAAGCCATTTATTGCAGCATGAATTACAACATTATACACTCATTGCATTACAAATTTGAAACTGATTGAAGTAGGGATAAAAA